AATTATTTAATATAAATAAATATTTAATAATTATTTAATCAACTAACTTAAATCAAAATTAATAATGCAAAGATTATACTATAAAAAAATGTTCACTATAAAAAAGAATAAGAATAATTTATCAAGAAAGAAATCCCTAACGTAGCATATAACCGCCCGATCTACGCATTTGCTACGCTGTCCGTGTTACGGCAAGTTCTTCGAACGGTTAAGTCCGCTTTGAAATCTATGGCGCCATAGAGATTCGCGTCGAGACCAAGCGAACGAGCGCTCCGGGGAACACATCGTTCATAAATATCAATGCGGCTTACCTGTACAGAGGTTCGCCGCTGTCCTCTTTGAACCAGAGTACCATGGAGACGGCGTCATTCGACTCGCGGGGCTGTATATTACACGGCAGGATTGTCCTCTGACCCGCCACCCCCTGTATCGACTCCACGGGTACTGGAACACACATCGATGTCTCATTTAGAGAAGCATCCACCTCACCGCGAGAAAACGAAGAATAATGAAGCAAAAAAGAATCATCGGATAACAAAGAGTTATAGATTTTTTTAGGCAATCCGTACAATGATCCTCAAATCCCTCGAGAGAATGTCAAAAGCTCTTTTTAATATCACTGACAAGATATTTCCAAATATCATAACTCTATATTTCATCAATCTCAGAATTCGCGTATCTATTTTCCCTGAAACATTTATTCTTTATGATTATTTAAAGTATTATTATTTAAGATTAAATTATACCTCTGTGATGCGGCCTCTCTTTTTCAAAATTTAGGAAAAAAAATAGAATTCGGGTTGTTTCCGAAAAGTTTTCAATCCATTTCAAAAAGAATTAAAGCAGTTGATTAAAGCAGTGAAAACACCATTTGAAGTAACGGAGGGACCAACATCACAATTCTGAAACTTTTAAGGACTATAATACTTTTTTATCTTTCAATTTAGCACTTTGATCCATATAGTACAATCGATAGAATTCTTTAGGAAGCTATCAAAACTCTCAAAAAAATGCTGGATTGCCAAAAAATTATTTAAAAACAATTTTTCTGAAAAATTTGTTCTAGAAATTCAGCGTCTCCCCTCCCCCCTCTTTCTCTAACATGAGTTCTGATAACTTTCCGAAGAGTTCTAATGATCATCCTTAATGATCGAATCGCTGAGATAAAAAACAAAAAAGTATTTCTAGCACTTTGAAGATTCGAAATTCTAGAGTCCATACTGGTAAAAAAATTTCTTTTTAATCCGACGTTCTGACTCTAACTGTTCATCAAAAAATCATTTTTATAATTGAAAAAGTTATAAAAACTAGTGTGTAAAGTTATAAAAACTAATGTATATTAAAAGCACATAATTAGCACGAAATTACAATATAAGTATTTTTCATTGAAAGTATTTCTTTTAATAGGCGTTCTAACTTTTTGAAAAGTTAGAAAAAATCAATTCCTTGATAAACAGAGCAATAAAATCAGGACAAATTAGAACAACAACGTTTTTATTTAAAAATTATAGTTTATATTAATAGTATATAAATTGATGTTATTGTAATTTAAAGCCAAATAACTGTAGTATTTGCTGAAAATATTAATAAAAACTTCTATAATTGATAACTAATCGTTAACTTTATTTAACTTTCCATTTGGATATTTGCAGTTGTCCCATCCTTATATTCTGTTTTATCTATTATAAAATTTGTGAGACGAGATTACGTCATCTGGCTCTGTATAATTTAAACATAGTATATTCTATTGATATGATATTTTATCATGATAGAGTATTGCGAAATATGCGCGGTTTTCGTTTCTATATGTGCAAATTATATAAATAAATTCTAGATTCTAGATTCGGAAAATATATCCTCGTGCATTTTAAAAATTTCGTTTGTATTTACAATTACTATATAACTACAATAATATCAAGCTTTGATTCTAATATGAATGTTTTCGCACAAGTATGAAATATTATTATCTCGACAGCATTAAAATAATATTAAAATAACCGATATTACTTTTCAATATGACCAATTCTATGTAGGTACTGTAGTACATAAATTCTTAAAGCGAGTTATCGATTTGTAAAATTATAGCAGTTTTTTTAAAGAGCAACTAGCAATAAGATTAACTCAGGCATGAAGAAAATCGATTATGCTACTAGTGGCTGCTTAAACACGGTTCACGACACTTTCTATTCCGTCGCTCGACAGATCGCTCGTCGAACATTTCTGACAATATTGCAGATTTTTATCGAGTAACCTTCTTTTAAGTCACAAAGACTCGTTAATAATCTCTTGGCATCTCTTTAATAATAATTCTTATCCCTGATAGAAATTTTTCAATCTATGTTAATAGCTGTCATTTTGTCGCGAGTTATATAATGAAGAGTAATCTTTGATTTTTTGCAAAGTGCGATATGATATCTGTACTAATTAGATGCAATAGTTTCCCGCAATAATAATATTAAAAAGGTATTTTCACTATATACTACGAAAAATCACTATATTAAAGAATTTAAAAATAAGACTACTACTACGCGCGCATCTTTTTTTATCGTAGTTACAAAAGTGTCCTGGCAACAGATGTGATTTCGAAGTTCATAGACGATTTTGCATTTTGCTTTTCCTCGAGAGTCGTAAAATGAGAGGAAGGAATTCTACAATACACCACAACTGGTTCCTCTCTCGCCCGGATTTCGCTCAAGTCGCATAGGTCGACGATAGGATAGTCCTGTGCATTTTCGTCACAGGAATACTTATTACATTTATTCTAACGTTACAATGACTTTATACAAGTACACGTCCTTTTGCGAAATGGAGAAATTCGCAACGTAAGAGTCACCGATCTCAGCATGAAGCAGCAATGTATATACATTGTCATGCGCATGCATCGTGATATTTGAATCTAGATTTTCTGAAAGAAAATTTAAAATATTTTAACGTTCATGGTTGTGCAAAAATTCTCTATGCAAAAGAAAGATAAAAAAATATATATTGAAAAAATAGAGATACTTTTTAGTTTTGGCTTTCGAATTCAAATCACAAATATATTGTAAAATTAAAGTAAATTTACATAAAGTACAGTTTCCTAGATATTCGATCTTTTTCCTTATTCTACATTTTATTGACTTTTCATTAAGAGAACCGAAACTGTTTGTAATCGATCTGTAATCGAGAAACTTTGCTTTCTGCAAGTATCTCATAGAGCAGCGGTTCAATGTAAACTGAAAGGAAAAAATAAAGTTCTAGTATAATTATAGTTAAATAAGCTAAATTCGTAGAAACAAATAGTACTCTCTAAATTTCTTGAAGTGAAATCATCTCACTCCAAAAGAGTTAAAATGGTGTCACTATTAAAACAAAAGTAAAAAATATGCATTTTTAATAAAGAAGAGCAGATTTTTTAGAAGAGTACTCTTTTTTAGATTGAGATTTCACACTTTTGGAATGAATTTCACTTAAAAAGGGATGATATTTCTATCCTTTAGAATAAAGAATAAAATCTACTACTCTTATCTTTAAGAGAGCAAATTTTTTACCTTTTTTCAATAGTGACAGTACTGTAACTTTTTTGGAGTAAGATTTCACTCCAAAAAATTCAAAAAATATATGGATCTAAATTACGTACACTCGCTTGTAGTTGTACACTCGATCCACGAGTGGTTGAACTTACATAATCTCGAATGTGCTCGAATGAGCGGTAAGCAGTAATGTGCAGGAACATACGTTATATATACGTGGAAATGCGGGTATCTCAATATTTTACGATACGATTTTCTGCATCGGAGGGATTTATAGCCGCGGCTGATATCTTGTGAAACGAAATATCGCCATCTGCCAAATAAAAGCGACGGCAGCGGTTGCAGCACAGCAACAGTTGCATCTGAAAGGCTTGCTGCATCTGAACGTCGCTGTTACCGATTTTCACGCTTCGGAATCTCTCGCCGAGCATGTAACGAGAGCTATCGATATACAAGCCGCATTACGGTGTGCTAACCCGACAGTTATCCGGAATTCAAGGGATCTGAAGACTCTTTCGAAGCCATTTTATGGAACTACATTCGCGGGATTTGACAACCGAAAAAACTTGTCTCAACGATCCAAGGTGAATAGAGAACACTACAGATTGCATGCGAGATTGTCTTGTGGATAATAAAACCGACTCGGATTACATTGTAAGACGCGATTAAATTTACAAGATTTGCTTTCGCAGCGACACTCGACGACAAAACGTGTACGTGCACCCATTGTGAATGCTTGACAAGGATTCTTACATTAAGATGCTACTAGAAAATAATGAGTATTGATGATACTTGTGCTTCTTCTTCTAGATATAAGTTTTTATTTGATATTTTATAAATTTTTGTATTTAAAAATTCAGTCAATTTCTTTTATTTTTTTATGTTAAATATCTTAGTCAGTCTTAATGAAGAAATGATGTATTCAATAAGTTTAAGATACACAAATATTGTATTATTTTACATAGCAAATATAAAATTATAATTTAAATGTATTTAAAAATATCAACAATTTGTTGATATTTTTTATTATCTATATCCTTTTTAATATTACGAATATTCTGGAGAAAGAATTTCGTTCAAATTAAATAAAAATATTTTTAGTAGAACAATTATGATTATAAATTCCTGAATAACTTATGATGCAGTCTAGTGTTTATAATTCAATATTAAGTATGCGAACTTCGTTGTCTAATAGCGAGAAAAAAAATTATGTTTAATTTTAACAGCCGCCGCATTAGAACTAGCCGTCGCGTCGGGCGCCATGTTAAGCTGCGATTTAAATTAAATTTCTCGTGGAACAATGACGCTCTACATGCACGTTGTCGAGCGGAAGTGCCGACCAAGCTCTGCCGGTGACACTTCCGTTGACTGGTGTAATTAACAAAACCGGAAAACCACGAAGGTCGGCTATTCGCGGAAGACTGTTGTTTGAGATCACCTGCCGCGAGATTCTCTGACGGATTTCTTATTACGTAATTACCTCCCTGCCAGACACTGAATTGTTGAAACGCGCAAAAGGAGCGACTCTAGTTAAATATCGTTCTTTGTTTATTTTCTAGGTCGCGAAACGAAAGTGCGTTTGCCTTCCTTGAACTATATTTCGAGATTTTTGTTTGTAGATATTAATCATGCGCGTTTCTAACGAAATTTTCTGATGTTTAACATAATTCTTAATTAAACAGAAGAAACATGCAAGAACATTTATTCAGATGCTTTTCCATTGCTTTCTTTTTAATTGAATATAGATATAATTTCTATGTGTATGTATGTTTCTAAATTTTTCTTTCTAGGTATATTTTCTACTAAAAATTTGTAATTTATATTATATTTATTATTCGTTGGACAATTTTTTTAAATTGCAAAAATAAAAATTTGAGTTTTACACGTTGACTATAATATTCATCAGAACATTAATATAATTTCTGCGAGTGT